AAAGAAGGAAAAAAAAGGCAAAAAGGCAACACAACTAACCTTAATAACATCAACTCTCCTACAGCAGGAGGCATCTGTTCCCATCAAGGCAAGCAGGAAAGCTCGGAGCTTCAAAGCAAGCCACTGCCTGTACCTGCCCGGGAAGCACCAGCTCAGTCAAGTCATCTGTGTAACTGCTGTGATCCTATACTTTTTTTTCCATTTGCTATTTTTCTATTTATAGCACAGGAGGCCAATAGGAAACTCGGCTGTAGTCACAGAAGGAACCTGTTATCACGCAGGGAGGGAAGAAGGGGAAAGAATATAACATAATTTTCCAGGGAGCCAAAACACAAGGGTTCAGCTATGGATTATTGCCTCAAAACAGCAATTTGCAGCACCCTCAGCCACTGGAGTTACAGAACCAGCTTTGCTCTTTTAGCAGGCACCAAACCAACATAACTGCTGATTTAGATAGATGTTTCAGCAGACAGCAGGTACCCAAACCACTCTTTTCTTTGTCCTTCTCTATAAAAATAAGCCTAAGGTACTGCATTTTGTCTCACTGAATAGCCCACAAAAGGCAGGGCAATCACACAACATAACACCACCAACCAACCCAGCATGACAGGCCTGTACACCATTTATGTAGCCAAAATGAATAATAAGAGGAAAAAAATGCCCTCCTCAAGCCATTTATACACTCTCACTGCAGGTGGTGAGATTAATCTCGAGTTTGGCAAAGAAACAGGCTGAGGCCTCAAGTAGCATCTCATTTTTATCACTGCTAGACTATTCATGACAGCAGGGACCACAGGAAGCAGGCCAGGCCTGGCTCTTGCGTTAGGTCTCATCGTGCTCCTCTTAAAAGAGGAGAAACCTTTAAAAACAGTTAAGCAGCACCCTGTGTTTTTAAATGCAGGCAAGAATATCAGTTCGTCTCAGGCTGCAGGCATAGCACCTAGCTAGAGGTCAAGCAGGACACACAAATATTCCTTTCAAGCAGCTATCAACACATTAAAAATTGTTAACAAAACCTGACCAAGTGCAGTAGAAGACAATGCTTGGGGTGTATCCGCTGGTCAACATCCTGTCCAGGAAAAAGATAGTTTTTTGCTACCTATTTTTGTTCCAATGAGGATAAGAGTAAGAACAGATTGAGCTGATTTTACCCAAACCAACCTGCTCTCATGGTAAGGAAGTTTGTCCTCACTCCTCCTCATTTCAGGACTTTGAGCACACTACAGAAGCACCAAAGTGCTTCTCCCACTGCCCCCTGCACATGCAAACCGTGGCAATGAAGACAGACAAGCAGCACAATTACTGTCTCCCAGGGAAGCAAAAATAACTGCTGGGCACAGAGGCAGCGCGTGCCCAGAATACCTCCCCAAGTGCTACCAATGTGACGGGAAGCCTCCAAAAACATCAAGTCACAGAAGGAGGCAACAAAAAAACAAAAGGAGAAATGGTTCCATGGAGTTTAGTGCAACTAAATTTCCAGTGCTACTCCAGATTACACATATAGGTTGTATCTCTTTATTGGTATGTTGGGTTAATGCTCTTCCTAGATGGGGCTCTAGTGGAACTCCAAACATGAACACCACCAAGGCTGGAGAGTTGTATGGGAGCACTGAAAAACTTCTCTCGGGCACTGAAAAAGCCACCAGGAGCTCATCGCTCATCTCTTCAGATGCATCTAATGGGCAGTGCTCAGTGCTTCTCATGCAACCCCTGATTTCCACCATTTGAAGATGATTCATCTCATCTTACTCAGCTGCCCCTATTCCGGGGGCAGATCATGTCTCCCTCCTGCAAACGGTCAGTTTTGCAGAACGGGGGGGGGAAAAAAAACCTTAATTTCTTCATTGCCAAACAAATAACAAAATCACACGCACAACACAGATTAAAATCTTGTTTCCATTAAAACAAAAACAAACGGGATTTGACAAACATCAGGGCTGGAGCTTCACAGGCTCAGCCCTCTGGGGACATGCATCCCTGTATCACGCTTAATTACAGGATCAAGCATGCCATTTTCCAGAGGGTCCATGTCTCATTTAGTACGCAAGGAAAAAAGCAAAGAACAACCAACATTTACCCAGCAAACAAGTACCTGACATGTTGTTTCTGTGACTTGAGGCATACCCCGAACATCTACCATAATCAAATCCTTCTCCGAAGATAAATCAGCCCATGACCAAATCAATCATTCTATCAGAATATCTGGGACTACTACAGATAGTAACGGATTTTCACACTGTTATTAGGACAAAGTGTATCAGCTTTGCAGTGAGCAACCCAAACATGGCAAAGTTAACATTTAAAGCCACTAATAATAATAAAATAAATAAATAAACACATTAACCAAGTTATATTGTCCCCTGTTTAATTAGCACAAATCACAAGGCACATCACAGCATGGTCCATCCTGGACTTCTGAAGCTTTTTCGCTGCTGTCCTGCCCCAACATCATCCCTACCACCAGCAAGACCCCATCTCATCCCAGCCCCCCAGCAGCTCTTCATAGCCCAACAGAGAAATCTCAGCTTACTGTGTATGGAGAAAGCAAGAGAGCTGCTCTGGTTAGGCAGGACATAACAGATTTTGAGCTAGCCGTGGTGCCTCCCCATATTTTCTACTTTTGCAAGGTGTCTGCACTGTAAAAATTACCCCGTTTACACTTAACATTTGCCCTGAAGGACAGAGCAAGCAACATCTCTTGTTGCATCAGCTTGGATCAAGAGCGACTGATGCCCTAACCCTAACATCAAACATCATCTCACCTAACTAATTCAGCCCTCACCTCAGAAACACAGTGATGCAAGCTGAGCTGTTGCCCATCCCCTTCCCTATGTGTATATAAAGGCACATAGGCACTCCAATTGCCAGGAAGGGAAACAGCAAAGTCTTAATGGACTTAGCCTACCTAGGAACATAACAACAAACCCAGCAGCTCCACCTGCCTTGCAGCCAAAGCCCTTCTCTACCATTGAGCTCCGTATCTGCTAAGGTTTCCATCTCCAAGGTCAATATAAATCCGTCTCCTCAACTATCTAACGCTTACGGTAAGACTCAGCCCTAAGTGTTGGCCACTGCTCAGTTATTTCACAGAATTCACAGAATATTTAAGGTTGGAAGGGACCTCTAGAGATCATCTAGTCCAACCTTCCTGCTCAAGCAGGCACACCTAGAGCATGTGGCACAGGGTGGCATCCAGGAGGGTTTTGAAGACCTCCAGAGCAGGAGACTCCACAACCTCCCTGGGCAGCCTGTTCCACTGCTCTGTCACCCTCACAGTAAAGAAGTTGCTCCTCACCTGGAGACGGAACTTCTTGTGTTTCAGCTTGTGGCCATTACCCCTCGTCCTATCGCTGGCCACCAGTGAAAACAGCCTGTCCCCTTCCTCCCTGCATTCTCCCTTCCTGAACTTATACATATTAATCATATCCCCTCTGAGCCGTCTCTTCTCCAGAGAAAACAGGCCCAGCTCACTCAGCCTCTCTTCATACGAGAGATGTTCCATTCCCTTAATCATCCTGGTTGCCCTTCTCTGGACCCTCTCCAGAAGCTCCACGTCCTTCCTATACTGGGGTGCCCAGAACTGCACACAGTACTCCAGGTGTGGCCTCACCAGAGCTGAGTAGAGGGGCAGAATCACCTCCCTTGACCTGCTGGCAACGCTCCTCCTGATGCAGGCCAGGATCCCATTGGCCTTCTTGGCCACGAGGGCACACTGCTCACTCATGGTTAACTTAGTGTCAACCAGGACTCCCAGGTCCCTCTCCGTGGAGGTGCAATTTTTTTCTAAGAGAGAGGGCAAGGGGCATTTCTAACATCTCAAAACTTATTGCGACCTTATTACAGCAATTTTGGCAACATTTCACCAAGTTTAGAAAAGCCTCCTTGCCAAAGCCTTTCACACAACATTCAGACATTGCTGCAGTGCCTTGCTTGCACGGGTAAAGTTTTCTGCACATTTCTTTGAAGTGGATTTCCCACCGACTCCCTGCACCGGATCCTGGACTTTTCCAGCCTCTGGCTAGATGAGAGGAACTGCAGGTCAGATCCCTACTTCAAAGGCTTCCAGGGATACGTAGAAAAACACCCTCACTTTGAGCAGCCTTCCTGAAGGCTTTTGGGGAAATGCACCTGACAAGGCAGAGTGACCCCCTGGGCGCACAGGCTCACATGCATTTCCTGCCCATTTCCTCTTAGCAAGGGGGACAACAAAGTCCCCATGAAGTCAATTAGGCCATTGCAGTATTTAGCAGAATAACTGCACTTCATCAGTGTTCATGTCTAGCACATAAGCCTTAAGTCGGAGGTATCAAAAGCAAAACAATTTATAAATTTACATTTTGTCTTAATGCCTTTCTTTTGCAGACTGATCTCGGAATCACTAAGAACTAACATTTAACGTAATGCTAGAGATAGGAAAAGCAACTGAAAAATCCTCACGTGGCTTCTGAAAGCCCCTCTGTTACCACGCCCTGAGATGATCCATCCTCTTGTCCAAGTGAAAAATAAACCAAAGTCACAGACCTACTTCTTTCATCACTTATAATGACAATAATGCAGATACAAAGCTAAATGAGATCATATTCTGCCCCGAGAAGAGCTACAGATACTAAATACGACCCCAAACCAGGCAATTTAGGGCGTAATAAAAACACAACTAATGAAAAATAGGGATCCTCCAAAATAAAAACATCGCTTATTATGTTTTAATATGCTTGCTAACCTCAACCAAGCAGCACGGACACATGAGCTACTTTCTCACCTACACAACTCCAGGTGCTTACACACACCTACAACGGCAGAGAACAAACACTCGAGGACAAAACTGAGTCCCTGCCACGGGCCCGTTTGGGCACATTTAGTCCAAGAAGATCTTGGGGAGCACTGAAACCAAAAACACCTCCCGGGAGATCACAGCCCTCAACGACCTGCCAGTACATGAGAGAAACACCACATGCATTTCAATAACAGTCTATAATAGTTCAATAATAGTTCCACAATACCTTGCAAGAGGAAGGCCCTGCTGGCATTGTGCAGCCCCGGCACCTGCGTCACGCCGGCGGTCGCGTTGACGAGATCCAGGTCCGCGATGAGATCCACTTGGAGGTCGGGATCGGCGCCAAAGCCCACGGCTGCCAGAGGCACTGCTGGGGAGGGAGAGGGGCAGAGTGAGACCGGCTCCTGTTCCCAACCAAGTAACAAGGATAGTCTCCTCTGTAGGAGACTATCACAGGCTCCTGTCTCTAGCATGACAGCAATGGCTTAGAAGACAGTGACTGCTGCAGGAGAGAGGATAGCAGGGTTTTTTTTTCCCCTGTTATTTCAATCAAGCTATTGCTTTCTCATAGATTTTATTAAACACAAGTTAAGACACTCGGAAACAGCTGCTTGAACCCAGGACCATGGTAAAGCAAAAGAGTCGCCAATAAATATACATATAAATATAGCTGAACACACAAAAAAGTACAACTGCCTCTGCAAAAAGGTGGAGGAGATAAGAACCACGCACCTTTTGGACCCGATGTCTACAAGGATATGAGGATCAGAAATCCCCCTTGCACTTCACGCCCAGACCAGGTCCCAGAGCCCATAACCTAGGCACAATTCTCCTAATGGAACCAAACACCCCTAAGGAGATAGAGCAGCAGGGCCAAGGAGGGCATCCCTAATGTAGCTACATCACCAAACCTGTGCCTGGGAGAGGCCAAAAATCCTCCCTAAAAGCTAAGTATTCTCCTAACATTCTCTTCTTCCTTGCCCTCCACATCCTTAGAAACAGGAATAGGCTCCAAAACTGAAAACTCCTGACGCAGCTGAAGTCAGTGGCAGAACTTGAACAGACTTCCTTGCATCCAGGATCTTACCTGCAAAGCACCTTCAGGCTGGTTTTCATTGAGTTCACCCCCCCATCAGGCTTAAATCCATTCACTTGCCACTTTGGGACCGCATTTCCAGATTAGTTAAACTGCAGATGTTCTAGTTGGTCCCTGAAGGGCTCCAAGACTTACAGAGGTGCAGGAGGATCAAGAAGTTACTAGTTTCCTCCTAGGTCGCCTGGCCCTAGCACTTTCTCCTTGGATAAAACTGAAATTCCTTGGGATAACACACTATGCTAAGGCAGGGGGATACTTGGCATTTCGTGCAATGGTGTTAAATATTGAAAAGAGCCTCAGAAAGTCTTTTGTCCTTAATCTACAAGATAAAGAAGTCTCACTGCATCCGGCACAGCCGAGCTCCGAGCGCGCTGTTATAGCAAAGCGAGCACGGATGCATAACAACGGGGATAACTACCTTTTTGTGGAAAATTCAAATATGAGCTCAGAAAAGGCATTCCTAAAGATGAGAAACTTCCTAGTGAGGCAGCAACACAAAGGGGCATCGGCACCGTCTCCGACTCAATCCCTGCCAAAGGGCTGACAGCTCCACAGCCCCTGCTGGGACTCGAGCGCATCAGTCCCTGGTCTAAGGGGGTTCGAGCTACTGGGGGCTGCAAAACACAACGGGTGGAGGCGAGGGAGGACGAGTCGGGTCTGCAAAACACCATGGACACAAAGGGGAGACAAATAGGGTCTGCAAAACACCACGGACACAAAGGGAGGTTGATCAGGGTCTGCAAAACACCATGGACAAGGGAGGTCGAGCTCACTCAATGGGAAAGATGAGCTATGTGCAGCATGACCAGCCCTAAACCCAGCGAAGGGGCAACCCAGTGACAGTCCCGGGCAGGATGGAACAGGAACAGGCACACGGATCCATCCCTGCAGCCACCCTGCTCCAATAAATCCGCTTACTGCAGCCCAAGGCTCAACAAGTACGGAGCCCCGGAGCTCCCCTGGCTTCCGCTCAGCCCCTTCCAGCTCTCCCGATGCTTCCCAAGCACGAGACCTAACATCACGGCACCTCCTCAGCAAGAGACTCCCCCTGCTTTAAATTCCCAGCCACCTTCTCCCCGCAGCTCCTCAGGCAGCACACGGGCGCTCAAAAGCCCCATTAATAATTAACAAACAACAAATCAGCAGCTTCAGCGCAATAAGCCGGGCTCCTCTCCCTGGGTGCTCGCCCGCAGCCCAGCACAAGGAGAGCATCCTATTGCCTGCACTCTCTTAGGCTCCCTCACCTCTCCTCCCTGGAATGAGACTGGCAATTCTGTCTTTATTTTTTGCCCTGAAGCCAAAAAAAAATAGGAGAAGAAAGAAGCATCAATCCATATACTCTTATTGGGGTAAGAGTGCCCAAGCCGGGGCCCGATCCCGAAGCCACGCGGCTTTCAATTCATAAACTAAAAGGGGGCTATTCCCCGTAAATCAGCGGCTCACACTCCGACCGAGCCCCCGCGGGAGACGGGAACGGGTCTCCAGACTTGGGCGCCCGTTGGGCCAGACACACCGGGGCAGATTAGCGGATGAACTGGCCGGGAGCCCCCGACGAGGACGCGCTCTTTGCGCCCTGGGGGCTCGGCCGCTCCCCGGGGCGCGGCGGGCTGCGGGCAAAGGGGAAACTCTGCCCCACCGCGCGGCCCCGGGGCAACGTCGGGGCTCCCCGGGCGGCGCCGCGCAGCCCCGCGCCGGAGTTGCGGCCGCTCCGCGCGGACCCCCTGCCCCACGCGCGCAGCCCCCCTGCCCCACGGCCATCCCCACGGCCTCACCTGCGGCGGCCGCCCCCGCGCAGCGCAGCAGCAGCAGCAGCAGCAGCAGGAGGGGCCCCATCGGCGCGGCCGCGCTGCGCCTGCCGAGCGGAGCGGAGCGGCTCCGGCTCCGGCTCCGGCGGCGGCTCCGGCTCCGCCCGCGGGCCCCGCCGCCCGCCCCGCTCCGCTCCGCTCCTCTCCGCTCCGCCGGCCTCGCCAGCGCCGCCGCCCGGCGGCTGCGGAGCGGCAACGGGCAGCGCGGGGCCGCCCCTTTAACGCCGGGCACCCGGGCTGAGTTGGCACTGGGATGGAGCGGTCCCGCCTGCTGCCCTGGCAGGGGACCCGGCTGCCGGATCCGCGCAGGTCTGGGGCAGCCGAGCGCTTGGCTCCGCGCAGCTCGGGCACCCTCCCTCCCCTGGGCCTCTGCTGTGGGTGCCAAACTCACCTGCAATCCTAAATAATATGTTTGGATAATAGGTAAAGTGAAAAACGCCCTGTAAAGCAGTGTTTGCATTCATGCTCCTTGGACAGTGCTAGAGCCATCAAACAGCATCTTTAGGTCACCTAATTCATGGCTTAGCAAGAGCTCTGCAAACACCTGGTCTGCAAAACACCCCCAAAACCCCTCAGCAACCATCTCCACAGCCTTTGCCCAGCCAGAACTACGCACGTGCTCAGTTTTAGGTAGGGTGCACCGTTACTCCCATTCCTACCCACATGGGGGTATAGCTACGTGGGATACAAGTAAGTGCAGCATCTGCCTGCATGCTAAATTAACTCATATCCCACCAAAGTTTTGGACTGTAAGGAAAATCACTGTGCAGTCTTTAATGGAGACACAGAGCTGGGCTGAAGGGTCACTGAGCAGAACTGGTCCTAAAAAGGGGGCTCTCCCAGCCCAGCACGATGTCAGAGGGATGTACGGATGCAGAATCAGTCATCTTGGAAGTATTTTCATCTTTTCATACTGGAAAATAGAAAGATGGTCAGCATGGACCAAAAAAACCTGCCTTCTCCCAGTCAACACCATTCCCACGCTGGCACTAACAACGTATTGCAACCAATCGTCTTTCCACAACGATGCAAAACCCCCTGATATGCTGAGATGATCCTGCTGGAAATATAAATAGCTGGAGGGCCTAATGTTCGGAGGGGAATGAGAACTGTGCTCCCGAATGCTTGCTGCAATTAAACTCAAGTCTGGTGGCACTTCTGCAAGAGCCGAGTGTTAGTCCTAGCAAACCCGATGCGTCTCAGCTCCGATCACATCCTCGCCCTGCGCTCCCGGCGGGGCGTTGCGTGCGTCTTGGTTTTGACCTAAACTGCAGTGATGTTGCCGACCGCGCGGTGTTAAACTGTTAGACCCCCCAGCCACAGAGCTCGGGGCGTTTTGAAGCTTGATGAGATAGTTCTGATCAGGCCCTGGTATCTCTCCGAGCTGCTGCGAGGCTGCTCTCGTGCCTCGGGTGAGAGGCAATGGGAAGTGCTAAGTGTTCACTTGAGGGATGGATGGATTCAGCTGCAAGCCGGACCGTATGTGCCACAGAGATGACAGAGCTTCCACACGGAAAATGCTTCCTAACTCACGGAAGAGAAACCCTTTTCCTTCAGGAGCAGGATTTCCAAATCCTAAATGCATGGCTAGCTGCCCTTTGGAGCCTGTAACGCATAAACCAGCTCTACATTCTGTCAATCTACCAGGTTTATACGAGATGGGCCCTGGTGTCAACACTACAATTGTAGCAATTTTACCACCCAAAAAGGTAAAATAACTCGGTCCGCTTCATACCCACACGAGGCCCCTAATTACCTCTAACTGATTCTCATGCACTCTAAACATAAACCCCCAGGACTAAGAGAAGAAGAAACCCTAGAGCTCCATAGGAAGTGCAGCTGGAAAGGGCATGCCATAGGAAATGAAGTGCTACATATGGATTAATCTTAGGACGTGTTCCAGAGCGAGCGCTAGGCCTGAGGGCCTCAGCATTTGTCTGACGTTAGGGTTAGGGAGACAGATAGGGTTAGCAAAGAGAGAAAGCCTACAGCTCCATGGACAGTGGAGCTAGAAAGGGCATACGAAAGGAGTCGTAGTGTTATCTTTGGATTGATTCTAGGACACGGGTTACAGAGGCAACGCTAGGCCTGGGGGCCTGAGCATGTGACTGACACCTAGCTTTAGGGACACGAATAGGATACGGAGAAAGCCTAAAGGTCCACGGAGAACGGAGCTAAAAAGGGCTTGTGAAAGGAAATGCAGTGCTACATTCGGCGTGATTCTAGGATATTTCTTCTAGAGCCATCGTGAAAGGAAATGTAATACTTCATTTTTGTTGATTCTGGGAGATGTGCTCTCGAGTCAGCACTGGGCCTGGGGGTCCTCAGCATTTGGGTGACAGCCAGGGTCAGGGACAGGCGAGACGAAGTCTAGACATCTGTGGGGAGTAAAGCTACAAAGGGCATGGAAACAGAAGTGTAGCCCTCCATTTCCTACATTCCCTATGGGTATTCGTGTAGCCCCCAGTGCCCTCCGTGTGCACAGAGACAGAGGGTCCCTAAGGGCCTCTGTGCTGCCATCAGTGGCCTCCATGCATGGGGGCAGGGGGGGCCTTCTGGCCATCGTGTGGCCCCCGGGGGGCACCAGCTTGGGGGTCCCTATTGACCTCTGTGTGGGCCTAAGGTGCCTCCATGTGCAAGGGCTGGGGGAGCTACAGGCCTCTGTGCAGACCCCGTGGGCTTCTGCGCCCACCAGGATGGGGGCCCTACTGTCCTCCTTGTGTGCCCCAGGGGCCTCCGTGCACCGGGGTTCAGGGGGGCCTATGGGCCTCCATGCAGCCACAGGGGCTTCCTTGCACATGAAGATGGGAGGGCCGAGCAGGCTCCCGTGCAAGCCCCAGAGGCCTCCAAGCACACAGGGATGTGGGGGCTCTAGAAGTCTCTCTATGGCCCCAGGGACCATCCATGTGTGTGGGGCACGGGGGGGGGGGGGGGGGGCCCTACTGCCATCTGTGCATGGACACTGGAGGGCACTGTGGGCCTCCGTGCTCATGGGGACAGGGGGGCCCAAGGGCCTCCGCTCAGCCCTCAGGGTCCTCCGTGCACACGGGGATGGGCTGACCCTACGGACCTTCGTGCAGCCAGCAGGAACTTCCCGTGCACATGGGGATAGGGGGCCCTAGGGGCCTCCGTGCCCAAGGGACTGGGGCAGCCCTCCGGCTGTCTTGTGGCCCCCTAAACAGCCTCCATGGGCAAAGCTGGGCCTGTGGGCCTCTGTGCAGGCCCCAGGGCCCACGCCGACGCGTGGCCCTACTATCCTCTGTGCAGCTCCCAGGGGTCTCCATGCACATGAAGATGGGAGGGCTCCACAGGCCTCTATGCAGGCCCCAGGGACATCCATGCACACAGGAACAGGGGGCTCGAAGGGCCTTTTTGTGGCCCCCAGGGACCTTTGTACACAGGGGTACCGGGGGCTCTATAGGGTTCTGGTTTGCCCTCAGGGACCTCCATGCACATGGGGACAGACGGGGGGGTGTCGTGCAAGCCACCACGTGGCCTCCAGAGTCCTCCGTGGGCAAGAAAAGTCACAGCCCTATGGTCCTCTGTGTGGACCACAGGGACCTCAGTACGCACAGAGAGGGGGGTCCCCACAGGCCTCCATGCACACAGGGATGGGAGGCTGCTATGGGCCTCCATGCGGTCCCGAGGGGTCTCCGTGCACACGGGCCCAGGGGCCTCCATCTGCCTAGGGGCAGAGGTGACCTAGAGGCCTCTGTGCAGGCCCCAGGGTCCTCCATGCGCACGAGGATGGGGGGCCCTACAGGCCTCAGTGCGATCCCCAGGGGCCTCTGTGCCCACAGGGAGGGAGGGGTCCCTGTGTGTGTCCACGAGGACCCAGATGCCTCCCTAAGTACAGAGGACAGCAGGGCGCTATGGGCCTCCATGCAGATCACAGGGTCCTCCGTGCACATGGAGCCAGGGGAGACCCACAGCCCTCTCTGTGGCATCCAGGGGCATCCGCGTGCATGGGGACAGGGGAGCCCTATGGGGTCAGTGCAGCAAGCAGGGACCTCCACGTGAACAGGGAGGCCCTGTGGGCCTCTATGCGGCATCCTGGGGACTCCATGCGCAAAAGGATGGAGGGAACCTGGGAACACGCAGACAAAAAGATGGGAGCTGCGTGAGGGGCTTGTGAGAGGAAATGTAGCGGTACATTCGCATTGATTCTGGGGCAGGTTTTCTAGGGCCAGCACCAGGCTCAGGAGCCTCAGCACTTGGCTGACAGCTAGGGCTTGGCTTAGGGTGAAGGTTAGGTGAGGTCTGGACCTAAGTCTAGAGACCCCTGGGGAGTGCAGCTACAACAGGGGAAAGGGAGGGCCGCCAAGGAGCGAAGCCACGTGCTGGGGAGTGCATCTGTCAGAGGCTTTGAGCATCCCTGTCCCACTCCAAGGAGCTGGGAGAAAGCCACCCGCTCTGACCAAACACATCTAGCACCCCTGTTCCTCAGCATCAATCCTGGCCAGAGTTTTTCTTGTCTTACACAAGTTCAACACCCAAGAGAGAAACCTCAGGGCACAACCAGAGCCCCACATCCTCTCCCGGTACTACTAGTGGGTCCACATTGTCTCCCACCCTGAGTACACTGGCCTCAGCACCCATTTGCTATCCTTGCTTCCAAACAGCACATCGAAACACTTGCCCTGAAAAACTATTCCCCCATGTGGATCCACACTGCCTTCCAGACACGTACAGAGCTGCCAGTGAAGGATCCCAAGCCAAATCCAACCCGTGAGGGCTCACAGCATCCTCCCTTGCTCCAGATTCAGCCACCCTGCTCTCAAAGGGGACCAAACCAGGAGCCAGATTCTCCAGGTCAAGCTGGAAAGCGCGACGTGTTCACACTGACTTACCGCAAATAACCAGGCTTGTGAGACAGGGGCACCTGCAGGACAAAACGGAAAATGAATTAGAAACCAAGAGCACTGGCAGGGTCACCAGGCTCCTGCTGCCTTCCAGCAGGACAGCTAACAAAGCTACAGCTATACACACCGTGAGCAAAGTTGGGTCTTCTTCACACACCACACTCAGTCTTGCAATGTGCCTTTAAACTGGGAATATATATATATCACATGCTCCTCGCTATATCTGCAGCATATTACCCTTAGAAAGCCCCCTTCCTTTCCAAGCACACGAGCAAGGCCTCCCCTTGGAAGTGCCCAATGCTCTTCCAGCTGAGGCTGCTTTCCAACTTCCAGCTTCATTCCCCGAGTCATGTGGGGCTTAGGCTGAGATCTCATCTTAAGAGGTTGACACCTTGCAAAGGATCATCAGGAATCTCCTGATTCCTGATGGGAAGGGTTTAACCCCCGGCCTCTACAAAAAAAAAAAAAAAAAAAAAAAAAACCCACCACATTTTGTTACACTCTGGAAGTTGTCATTAAACAAGAGATCAAGTTATAAATGGTTTTCTGTAGCACGAGGTGCTTTATTGCCTGTTAAGCCATCGAGCTGAAATGTTAGCAAAAATCAGATGCTATTTATCAGCCACCCAGCACCACCTTTATTTATAAAGAGGCACCCTTAATGCTTCCTATATCACCCTGCTACCTATATTGACAGGCTCAGGGCTCTCAAATCAAGCCCCTTTTAACCCAAGCATTCATGGCAAGCCCAGGCTGGCTCCCCACATCCTTCAAATAACCTTCTAACTGCCCAAGACTCCACCTGTTTGGGCTAAAAAAACCCACTAGGATCCTTCCCACCTGCTAAACTCCTTTTCTTTTCCCTCCTTTTCCTTCTCTTTCATTCCCTTTGATGCCTAGGAGGGATGCAAACGTTTCCGTGTGCGAGGAAGATAACAGTGTAAGGCATGAGACTCCTTCAGCTTGAACACATTGTGGATGTTGCCTTGAGGCAGAACACATTCCCAGGTTAAATACATTCCCTAAAAAGCAAACAAATGTTAGCGTTAATAGTAGATATCCAAGGACATCCACTCTTAGCTACTACATAGGAAGCCCCTCAGCACCTTCTACCAGAAACGCGATCCAGCAGGATCCTGCAAGGAAAGACCTTGCTGGCTAAGCCCGCAAAATTCCTTCTGCGCCATCAAAAAGTTCCCTTTACTTTTGGATTTGGGAAATAGCAAATAAATAAATAAATAAATAAATTCCTCTGCAAGTATTTAAGCCATTTTTATGTGGCTTAAAAGCGACGGGTGTTAATGGCAGAAAAAAAAACCCGAGGATCGCCCGTGTTTTGCTCTCTCTTCCCAGGAAAACAGATCCCCTCCCAACGGCCGCGGTCCTCAGCGACCCCATTTTAAAACGGCTTCCCCTCCCCGCGCGAAGCGCACGCAGCGGCCCGGCTGCCGCGCGGGGCACTCTGGGACTTGTAGTCCCGCCGCGAGGTCGCCGCGGCGGCTCGGGGCGCGCCAAGACTCCATTTCCCGGCAGGCCGTGCGCGGCGACGGCGGGGAGGGGAGGCCGCTCGGCGTGGCCATGGCGGTCGATAGGGACGTGCTGCAGCGGGACCTCTACGGTCTGCTCGGCGTTGGGGAGAAGGCGTCGGAGAAGGAGGTTAGGAGCGGGGTTTCCGCGGCACCAGCGGCGTGTGCAATCTATACTGCACGATATCTTGTCTTTTTTTGTGGGTTTTTTTTCTTTTTTTGGATTGTTTCATTATTATTATTATTATTATTATTATTATTATTATTATTATTATTATTATTATTATTCCTCTTGCTTTCTCTCGTTTGGTGGCCGAGTCAACGTGATAAGTATCCAGGAGGCCCCCAAGGCCGAGCAGGAGCGGCCTATGCAAGCTCAATTATGACGAGCCGAGTAAAGCCGCGAATAGCAGAGCAGATTAAAGCTGAGCCGGGGACTTTGCTGGCCCCAGTAAGGAGTTTGGGGCTGTTTTTAAAGCCGTGAGCCCCAAAGGACGTGAAAGGCTTTGGTTGAGCTCAACCTCGCTGCTAAATGAGAAGAAAAATGAAAAGGAGAATAAATAAATAAATAAATTGCAATATGTGTGATCTGGTGCAGCCTAAAAATTGACAGGTTTTATGGTTCAGCTCAATGTAGGGTGCTTGAAACAACCCAGAGGAGATTAGTATTAAGGGAAACATCAGCAAAAGAGCAGAGCTTTCCTAAATGTTACCCAAAGAGATCAGCCTGAACTCCTTGGAGAAGCCTTAACTCCCCTTGCCGTGTGGAGCAGCTGTTCCAATAGTTGGGAATGATGCAGGTTGTACAAAGACTCCTTCCAGGGATCTGGCTTGTGGAGGAGACGGAGTTTGGCCTGTGATGTTTCCTTTGAGCACGTAACAACCCGCGGTTTTGTACAGCAGGTGGTGCTGAGCCACCACTTATCCCTTCCAGTCCTTGGCAGCTGAACGGAGCAGCTTTGATTTTATTTTACCTTTTCTTTCCTGCACGCGGATGTTTCTTCCCATAATTTGTTGTCAGTTTTGCCTTGAAGTGTAGATGGGATTCGATAGACTTAGGTCAAAATGTCCTTGGCTGCTAAACCCAGTTGCTGTGAAAGGAGTTGTAGGTATTTTGTCCCAAATAGTGGTGCCTGTGAGGAACGCTGTATCCTTTCGACTGGGTAGAAAACTGTGTTTCAGCCTATTAGGCTTGGCCTTGCTGAGCGTGCATTGCATTGCAGCTGTAATGCACCTAAAAGTAAAACTTTCGGCCTTAAAAAGGTCGGAATTGGTTGAAAGTGTGGCTGTGTGCTTAACTGAACAGGCTGGTTATCCTTTCAGTGCAGTGTGAGGAAAAGGGCAGGTCGCTACATTGGAGCTGAAAATGGAGTTTCTTTAGTCTCTTGCTTTTGCAGGAGGCTCCTTCGTTTCTTTACACAGGCTCTCCAGAAAATACTTCCACAAAATACTTCCAGAAAAAGTATTCCAGAAAATAATACTGCAGGCCCTGGGGTTTCTAAGCCATGCAAATGAATATTGTCTACAGTCTTCTGCTTTTGGCAGAGAGGTGTGTTCTGAGATCAGGAAACCCAAACCCGCCGTGAGCGGGGCGTGCTCCTTGCATTTCTGTGGTGCCTTTCTCCAGGTTGTGTCTCTCAGCATGGACGGAACCTCCTGAGAAAGCTCTGCTGTGGCTCTTGCAGGTCAAGAAAGCGTATCGCCAGAAGGCCCTGACGTGCCACCCGGATAAGAACCCGGACGATCCCAAAGCAGGTGAGATGGGAGCTGCCCTTGCCTCATCCGCACGTACAGACTCCTATAGGTGACCCTCTTTAACCCCAGCTCTGTCTTTGCGTGCAGTAAAGAGAGCACCTGGGTTTGTGTCATGCCGTGTGTAACATGCAGCATTGAGAGTTATTTTAGTTGCTAGATTCCTCTGGGTTTTAAGGTGAAATGCATAAATGTTGGCTTTCAGCAGCTCAAGGGTTAGGTGAATGCTGAAATTTTTATTTGCTGCTTCACAAATCTTCCGATTTTTATTTGCTCCTTCACAAATCTTCCCATCTGGTACTTGAATCCTGGACCATTAGCCATATTGTCACTGATGGATGTTAACTGGCTGGCTACTCATTCTTTTAATTCATGCTTTTCAAAATCAAAACTTTAATGGAGAGCTTAGACATCGTTATTTTATATGGAAAAGGCTCTTTGCAGCCGAGTGGACCGTTAGCAAGATCTGTGTACTCTACCCTCTCCGTTTCCTTTCCAAGCACCTGTGGATGAAAAGGAACAGCAGCAGTAACTGGAAGGATGCAGTTCCACAAAACACCTCGAAATAAACACATCAGTCTCCAGTAAGCACATCCCTGCAGGAAGAGGGTCAGCAAAATCCATGTAAAAGACAACATTTGGATCCTGGGTTGAAAAGTTATTAATCCAGACTGGAGAATTTCTCTCCAATGCACTGTGTTTCAGACTGACTGCAGGCTCAGGAATGTATTTGTCTATGCACTCTGTTCAGTTCGTGTTTTCCACACGTTTCTTATGATGGTCCCAACGTTTGTTTTTTAGTTTAGGTAGTTAAGTTGATCTTTCAGCTGGGAAGAACTTGGCTGAGAGTTGGCTCACAATTGCTTTGGAAAGATTATTCTTTTTTTCTGGCATTTTGCAGGTCTCTTCCATAAGGGATAGTCTTTTGTGGTTCATCCCCAGGCTGCTAGCGGGGTTTTCTGCATCTTACCCTTTTCTCTTCTAATTCCCAGCGGAAATCTTCCACCAACTGTCTCAGGCCTTAGCAGTGCTAACAGATGCAGCAGCAAGGGTAAGGATGCCCATCGCTTCTTCTTGGTGGGACTATGTGATGTTTTTCTGTGCAAGCCTGGTTGGGAATTGGTGAAAAATCTCTTCTTGTCTGTCATAATCTCTGCTCTCTTCTCTGAGTGAGTGTGAATGCGACTCTCAGCTGTTATACCCTGTATTTCACTGGGAGATCAAGTGGTATCTGCTTAGGCAAAGTGTTCCTGGTCAAATCTGATGTTCTCTGTGTGGCTCTGTCCATTTACTTACGAGATACCGTGTTTAATAGCATGTTAAACTGAGACATGTCCCATAAAAAGAGAAATACCCACCACTGGCGTTAAGACACGCGTTCAATTCCTGGGGCATCATTGCATTTCCAGGTCCTATGAGTAAACTTCTCGTGTAAAGTGAACTTGGTTTGTCTTAAAACTTAGCTCTAAGCCAGAACTGACCCATCATCAACAGGTATAAAAGAAGTAATGATTCCGTGCCTTCCAGAATATGACATTTCTTTGCCACTGTTACCGGTGCTCCCAAAGCCACTTTTGGCCTATTTGGGAACCCAGAATACTCTTCCCACCAGTAAATTTTCTCTCTTATTTACTGAGCAGTTATTCCTGGAATTTTTGACCTTCCTTTCAGGCTCAGTCCTTGGACCTCTTTTATTGTTTTCAGGATATTTGTGTTGACCTCCATTTAGGAAGAATGCTAAAAAGAAAATTCTTCACCTCTGATTAGTGTTTCAGTATCTAATTTCTCCTTTATTCAACACTTTGTGTTTTATCCCTCCTGCTTTATGTAATTTCACACTCTGCCGTTGGTTCTTTGACAGGCAGCATATGACAAAGTGAGAAAAGCCAAGAAGCAAGCAGCAGAAAGGACACAAAAGCTTGATGAGAAGCGAAAGAGGGTAAAGCTTGGTAAGGAAATCAGAACTTCATGTTGGCTTGACGTATTCCTTACCTGGGTGTTTGCATTTCTTGCACTGATCATTAAGCTGCTGGCTGTTTCTGATGGATATGTCCTTTTATGCCCAATAAAATA